CCCTGTTTTGTTTTGTTTTTTAAATCCTTAAGCAACTCTGAAAGGTAGGTAATACCACTTTTGTTCATCTAGTAAATGGGCACTCAGAGAATGACTTACCCAAGGCTTGTAAATGGCAAAGCCAAATTGGACCACATACATACTTGATTTTATAACTTGAGCTCTTTTTGCTATACCATGCTGTATGAAAATTTAATATTCAGTTTGACTCAGCTTAAATACTATTTTCAAGGTTTTGTCATTGTCTTTCTTTAGAGCCACAGTTATTGTCACTAGCAAATATATATTAAGTTCTTAGGGATGGAAAGTAGCAGAATATTTGTGATTTAGAGACCAGATTTATAGATTTGCTATGGTTACAATAATCTGATGACAGCATGAAAGAAGTGTATTCCTAACCAGGTGCTGGTGGCTCACACCTGTAATCCTGGCTACTTGGGAAGCAGAGATCAGGAGGATTGTGGTTCAAAGCCAACCCCTGGCAAAGAGTTCTTGAGACCCTGTCTCAAAAATACCCAACACAAAAAGGGATGATGCAATAACTCAGGTGATAAGAGTGCCTGCCTAGCAAGCATGAGGCCCAGAGTTCAAACCCCAGTATCAAAAAAAAAGAAGAAAAGAAATGTATTTCTATATAAAAAGGAGTATGTTGTCCCAAAATCTTAGCAAAATATGTAAGATATATAGAATCTAAATTGAGATACATGCAAATAATAGTCTTAGCAGTATTTGAAGTTAAAAATTTCCACTTACTTCCTTTTAAGTTATTTGGGCTAGTTTAATATAATCCTAATGAAATAATGACCACTACTACCTGCAGATTAGATTGTCTATGTAGGCAAAGCTTCATTTTGGTTCTCTTTGTCTGTGATAGGGTCTTGCTCTGTAGCTGATGCCATCCTGGACCTCCTGATTCTCCTGCCTCAGGTTTCTGAGCGCCGGGATACAGGTGCATGCCACCCTGCATGGCACAAATAAGGCTTACTTAATGCGTATAAAAGAGACCTACCAACTTGCTATACTTATTTTTCCTTTAGAACGTGTTTTTTTGTTTTTGTGACACTAGGGCTTGAATTCAGGGCCTCACACTTAGTAGGCAAGCACTCTACCATTTGAGCTAGTCCACTGGTCTTATTTTTACTTACATTAATATTTTACCCTAAATGTGTGAAGGTTAACATTTTTGTGTACCAGTCACTTTAAAAAGTAAAAATGCTTTAAAAAATTCCTATTAATTATAAGTGGCATATATTTCATGTGTATAAATTTGTGGGTATGATGCCAAAGATGCTCACGATTACTTTATAAGGCATTTAAAGTTTACCTTAATCTGTAGTTAATTATTTATTTGCCATGAAACATTTTCCTATGAAAACTGTAAATTCATAAGTAAAATGCCATTTAGCATCACAAATTAATGCTTTTAGAATTTGACTTTAATAATGTTATACAACTTTGTGTTAAATTTTCTTTTACCTTGAAATGTTTTAAAGTTACGCCATGAAATGGTCATTTAATTCTGTTAAGTGAATGATCTCTGCAGTCATTGAGCATATATTGAGCAGGGTTGTATGTGGTTCTAGAGGAAATTAACCTAAGACATTATCTCCCCATAGTCAGGCTAATAGAGATATGATACACTTTAAAAGCAGAGTTCAGTGGAAGTTGACTGTGAAGTCTCTAATCAAGACTAGGAAACCAACAAGTCTTCCTATAGAAGGTCGTATGAGCACTGTCTGTTTACTGAGGGATATGTCTGTAATATTTTTAATTAATCAGTTGGTATTTTTTGGTACAGAAGATGCTTTCTATGGATGGGTTACTGCTGTGCTTCAGCCCTTGAGATAATCAAGTGGTGCCTGGAACAAGCAGGCCTCCCAGTCTTGTTATGCCTGGATATAAGCAGCCTCTTCCTTTTGCCCCAGGCCTCATACATTTATTTCCGTTTTCCACATGTGTCATGATATGATTATTGAGAAGTAATGGTGAAGACAAATGCCATAACATAAAGTAATGGAATCTCCATCAAGAGTTCCGAAAGGATCAGAACAAAGAGATAAATCTAATAGCCAAATCTTAATATGCTCTTAATTTTTTAAAAATTGTAAGTTATAAATACATAAATGTCATTATTTTAGCTATTTTTTCAGTCCTGTTTGTTTTATTTATTTACTATTATGTGTGTATTCATTTATGATTTATTAAGGAAGGCGTATCTGCTTCAACATAAACCCAGCTGGTTCTAGGATATGTTTTTCTATTTGAAGGAAGGAAAGAGGTTACTGGGGTTTGAACTCAGAGCTTCATGCTTGCTAGGCAAGTGATCTACCACTTGAGCCATGCCTCCTGCCCTTTTTGCTCTGGTTATTTTGGAGATGGGAGTCTCATTTTTTGCTGAGTCCAGCCTGTACTGCCATCCTATTTTAAGTTTCCTGCTGTGCTGGGATGACAAGCGTGCACCACCACAGCCAGCTTTTTTTCGGTTGAGATGGCTGGTACCGTGTACTTTGAACAAGTTTACCCCCTCTATTAGACTCCTTTAACCTCCTTCTCCCCCACCCACCTTTTTTCACCATCTTTCTCCCAAACTCCATACCCATTAATAATTTCCCATGCCTCCTTCTCCCAGCCTGATAGCCACTATTCTTTCTGTATCTGAATTTGACTACTCTAGTAAATTCATTTAAGTGGAATCATACAGCATTTGACCTTTTGTGATTGCCTTATTAAATTGTCTTCAAAATTTATCCATAGCAAAATGTCTTTAAGGTTCATCTGTGTTGTAATATGTGTTAGAATTTCTTTTTAAAGGTGAATAATATTCTAATGTGTGTATAGATATACCTACACAGAAGTAAAGTCTCAAGTCATATGGTAATTCTAGTCACATTCCTAATAGCAGTGCACAAGGATTCCAATTGCTCCATATCCTCACCAGTATTGTTTTCTGCCTTTTGATAATAGCCATTCTAATACGTGTCAAGTGGTTTCTCATTATCATCTTGATTTACATTTACCTAATGGCTAGCGATACTGACCATTTCTTCATTAACTTATTGATAATATATATATGGCCAGTATTTTTTAAGATTTTTTTTTCTGGAGTTGTCTAACCAAGATTAAGGGAAATCTTGTTCAAAAGCAAATCTTCTTATAGACCTAGACTGACTTAATCTTCAACTTTTGCTTAAACTTCTTGCTGTTCTTTACCTTAAAGATCATCAGAAATTCTTACTATGAAGTCTTATCGGTGGTTTCAGAGTCCATGAATAGCCTACATTAAAGCAAAAGTCTGTCAGATGAGACTGGGATTTGAATTAGGGATTTGTGCTTGCAAAGCAGATGTTCTACTGCTTGAGCCACACCTCCAGTCCATTTTGCTCTGGTTGTTTTGGAGATGAGCATGTCACTTTGCCTGAGCTGACCTCTAACCACAGTCCTCCTGATCTCAGCTTCCCAGGTAGCTAGGATTGCAGGCGTGAACCACCAGCAACCAGCTACTGAAGAACTCTTCATCTAGCCCAGAATCATCAAAATGTTAAGTCATTATCTTTTGTTAGGTGTTTCTGTATTTTCAAAGTAGTTTAAATTAACATTCATAGTCTGTGTGGTTTCTTCTTTTTCTTTTTCAATCAAGTAAATTGCTCTTTTAGAACTTTAAAAGCAAAATCCATGTTTAGTGATTGGACCTCCATAAAAAGCAAATTAAAACTAAGAAGAAATGAAATGGTTATGTTGTTAAAAGTCTGGCCTTCTCTTCAAGTCTTAGCATTCCCAAGCATGTTTCTGCCTATAGAAAGAATAGGCAGACTGTGACTGCTACAATTCACACATACACACAAATGATGTTTAACCATTGGATTTATTTCAGCTGAATTTATTACAATAAAATATTTGCATTTGAGTTTTTTATAATAAGCTTTTACTATAAAGACAAGGTACCAGTTCTATAGCTAGAAAAGCAGTGTTTACCACTAAATCTATTTCAGCTGAATTTCATTAAAGAAAAATATTTGCATTTGAGTCCTTTATAATGGTTTTCCTATAATATCTTTACGTAGTACTTTCTACAGTAATTACTTTTAAAAGCTGTGGGACTTTTGTTTAATTTTAAATCATGGATCACATAATATTAAAAACAACCTGAAAGAATTCTCAGTATTTATCTTGGGTAGATAAATATATACCTGTTTTCAATTTTTTACTAAAGAAACTTTAGAAAACCTTTAACATTTTGTAGACTTTCCTAGGACATCTTGCCTATTAATGTTCATTGTCAAGTCCTCTTATGTCCTTCAGTCTTTTTAGCTAAGACTGTTCCCAAGTAGGGTTTAGGTTCCTCTGCCATGTAATAAATGGTAGGGACACTTCTCCTTATCCATATTCCAAGACTCCCAGTAGAACAGTTGTAGCAGTGTGCTGGCATTTATGAATTGGTAGTAATACTTTGGGACCATTTTTAAATAAAATGAGTTACTTGAATACAAGCCTTGTGATATCACAGTAAAGTGAGTAATGGGCAGGTAGCATACAGAGCATGGATACACTGGAGAAAAGGGATGATTTCATGGCCTGGGCAGGATGGAGTATAATCTTATCACATTACTCAGAATAGTGCTTAATTTAAAACTCATTAATTGCTTATTTCTGGAATTTTACATTTAATATTCTCAGTCCACAGTTGGCTGTGGGTAACTGAAATCACTGAAACCACAAATAAGAGGGTATTTCTATTGTAGCTGGGCCTCCATTTCCTCTTTGTTTGGACTGGAGCTATATGGTTTATTGTGCTCTGACTTTTGTGGGGGGCAGAATAGGGGACCTATTTATCTGCTTAAATATAAGTTTACACTGCTTTTTTTCTGTCATTATTTTTTGGGGTGCTTCTGGAGATAAAACCCAGAGCCTCACAAATGTGAGGCAAGCATTCTCTACCACTGAGCTATACTCTCAGCCCACATAGTTTTATACCAGTTTAAATTCTTATTTTTCTTTTGTAGCTGTATGCAGGAGCTATTCTTGAAGTCTGTGGATGAAAATTAGGGAGGTTCCCTCAAGTCCAAGGTATGTGGTAAACTGCTTAATCATTTAAAATCTCCATCTCACAAGAATAATTTCATTAAATATTTCCAGGAATAAGAATTTTTAGAATTGTACTTTCTCAACAGTATATGAATTTTGTTCACATTTGTTTTTATGTAGGTGACATTTTATAGTAATTGATGACTAGTAGGTTACTTTACTATAAACAAACAATATATGAAATTTAGATTTAAAATATAACACATGAAGTGGTTTATTTTCTTAAAAGGAGATTCATTTGCCAGGTAAATCTTATGAGAGATTTTCATTTAGCAGATGTAGATGTAATTTCCTTTCACACCATTCTAGTGTATTTTAAATGTGAGTTGCTTAAGGAACAATTGAATTAAGTTAGGCTAGACCCAACGTGAAAAATCACCAAGAGAAGAATTAATTACCATAGAATTTGGGGTATATAAGAGAGGTTATAATATATTTTTCTCCCTGGGGAATTTTAATGATATATATGTTAAAAGATATAAAAGTGTTTTCTTTTGTTTAATATCAAATAGTAATGAGCTTTGCATTTCCAGGAAAGGCTTGGACTATAGCTTTTCTTTTTGTCCATGCATGTCACTTGAAAATCAGTTTTATAAAAGTGAGCTGTCAATTATAAAGCTCTTTTTTTTTTTTTAACTTAAATGCGTAACTGTTGTATCTGTATACTTACTCTATATTGATTTTTGCTGACTTTCTATGGTTTCATGCTTTATTTACTTATGGCAAAAGAATTTCTTGGATTTGGTATTTTATAAAATTTCTTGTATCACCACATGCCTTTTATTGCTGACCTAAAATTTTTTTTTTATAAAATAATGTTCATTTTGGCTCAGAAATGTAATATAGTAGTTTAACTCAGGGACATTCTTTTTATGAGGCCCAAGGCAGATACACATCTAATTAAATATATTCTTTGTTAACTTAAGCATGTATTCTGATGTAGCACAGAATATAATTTCAATTTCTGCTTAGGGGGAAAAAATCTTCACTCTGGTTTTTTGTTTGTTTTGTTTTTCAATTTTGGTTTTTGTTTTGTTTTCCTTGTTACCTCAAGCACCACAGTTTTGGCTTTTTAATATTAGTTATTTGAATAATAGTGTGATTATTCTTATTCCTAGTTTTGGCAACTGCTGGTTTTTTGTTTGTTTTTTGGTTTGTTCGGTTTGGTTTTGCGATGCTAGGATTTGAACTCAGGGCCTTGTGCTTGCAGTCTACTACTTGAGCCATGTTCTTATCCCCTTTTGCTTTTGTTATTTTTCAAATCAGGTCTCGTGTTTATGCTCAGGCCAGTTGGGATCACAATCCTTCTAGTTATACTTCCCACATAGCTGGTTGGTAGGTGTGTACCACCACAGCCAGCTTATTGGTTGAGATGGGGTTTCATGAAATTTGTGCTGAATTGACTTCGACCTTACTGTCCTCCTACTTCATTCTCCTCAGTGCTCTACAAGCAGGCCTTTAACGTGTGTTAAATTAACAATCCTTGGAGTATATGTTATCATACTGTCTTTTCTTTTTGAAAAAAATTGAATTTTAATTTTTTGTATATATTTACTCGATTAAAAGCTAGCTTAACAGATACCTTAAAAGCAACTGAGGCCAATAGGAAAAGGGGACCAGGAACTAGAGAAAAGGTTAGATCAAAAAGAATTAACCTATAAGGTAACACACATGCACAGGAAATTAATGTGAGTCAACTCCCTGTATAACTATCCTTATCTCAACTAGCAAAAACCCTTGTTCCTTCCTATTATCGCTTATACTCTCTCTTCAACAAAATTAGAGATAAGGGCAAAATAGTTTCTGCTGGATATTGAGGGGGTAGGGAGGAGAGGTAGGAGGCAGAGTGGGTGGTAAGGGAGGGGGTGGGGGTAGGGGGGAGAAATGACCCAAGCATTGTATGCACATATGAATAATAAAAAAAAAATCTAGCTTAAAGCAAAAACTGTTGTTTAATTCTATAGTGCATAACCATATTTTAATACATTTATGTGTAATACCAGTATTTTCTGAGCCCATAAGAAGTTCGTATATTTTTGACAAAACAATTATATTCCTACTTTCATAATTTCTGTTTTAAGAATATTCTGAAATAGAGCATGAGGAGAATTGTCACTTTTTATACCAAACTAACTTTCATGTCATCACTACTTTGTATTCCTTGTCTTCAACATCAGGTAGCTTCTGGGATTATCATGGTAAAAGCCTCATAATATTTTATCTGTTAATATATTACAAGTTTTTACGACCACATAATTTAAATTAACCATTTCATAAAGCAACAGTAAATTAATATTAAATTTATTCCCAAAGAATTAAATTACATTATATGTATGTATAAAAATATCAGTGAAACCCATTGATATAATTAATGTATGCTAATAAAAAATTTTAAATTATTCCAAAAGAAGTAAGAAATTAGATCTGGATATGTTGTATATATTTTTCCCTAATTTCATAGAGCATGACACATCTTCTATAAAGGACTAGATAGCAAAAGTTTTCAGCATTAGGGGTAACATAGTTTCTGATGCAGCTATCAAACTTTGCTATTACAGTGTAAAAGTAGCCATAGGTACTTCTTTAATGAAGACGTGTGACTATGTTCCAATAAAACTTTATTAATGAAAAGCAGGCAGGTCAAATTTTACATATGGGTTCTATTTTGCCAACCCCTGTATTAGAATTATAAACTTTCAGACATGGAAAGGAGTTTTAGAATAATATAAAACTGAAATAACAGCCGTGCATGTTAACATATACCTGTAAGGCCAGCTACTTGGAAGACTAAAGCAGAGGCATCCCAACTTGGAGGCCTGCCTGGGCTACCTATCTAGAACTGAGATGGCAGATGGCTTTTTGTTTTTTATACCCACTATCATTGGTTGGTAGTGATGCCTAAGATTATGATACTGCATTGGAGTTGGAAACAATGCTGGTCTGTTAGCATTGTCTTCATTGATTTTTCTCATTTATAGCATATATTAAGCACTATTCTAGTACCAAGGATACTAAATGGTAGGTATTGCTGCTACTGTATCTTACACTCCCTCTTTGTTTAATACATTTCAATTACAACTAAATATTTATTTAGAGTCTCACTTATTGGCCTCCTGTTTTTGTTAATGTATCTATTATAGCTACTGTTAGTCTCAAAATTAGATGCAGAATTCTGTATATCCACCACCAACCTTCCTCAGGCTTCTTTTCTCTACTAAATCTTATTTGACTCACTAGCATTTGATACTTCCCTTCACTTGTGTGACTGCATTATCTCTTAGTTTCCTCCCTAGTATCTCTTTAGCTGCCTATTCTTCAGATGCCAAGATCTATCTTCAGATTTTCTTCTCCTCTTGAATGAATGCTTTTCCACTCCCTCAGCTTCAGTGATGGTGCTCACCTGTTGACTCTCAATCTGTATGTGTAGCTCAAACTTTCTGTTGCTGTTAGAAATCATGTCTCTGACTTTCTGGCTGCCATTGGACATTTCCACTTGGATGATCTCATAGTTACCTTAAACAGTGTACATATGACTCATCCAGCGTGAAGAATGTTAAGATGACAGGTGTGACTGTAAATTTGGAATGAGTTCTAGGAGTCTGCGTTGGTAACAGCCCTGCAGACTATGACCCACATTTTCTTTTTATTCATAAGTGCATACAATGTTTGGGTCATTTCTCCCCCTCCTCTCTCCCCCCCACCTCCTTGATAGCCAGCAGAAACTATTTTGCCCTTATCTCTTAGTTTTGTTGAAGAGAGCGTATAAACGATAATAGGAAGGAACAAGGGTTTTTGCTAGTTGAGATAAGGATAGCTATACAGGGAGTTGACTTACCTTGATTTCCTATGCATGTGTGTTACCTTCTAGGTTAATTCTTCTTGATCTAACCTTTTCTCTAGTTCCTGGCCCCCTTCTTCTATTGGCCTCAGTTGCTTTTAAGGTATCTGCTTTAGTTTCTCTGCATTGAGGGCAACAAATGCTAGCTAATTTTTTAGGTGTCTTACCTATCCTCATACCTCCCTCGTGTGCTCTCGCTTTTATCTTGTGATCAAAGTCCAATCCCCTTATTGTGTTTGTATGGCCCACATTTTAAGTGGGAAACCTTTAAGCCCAGCTTGCCCAGAAACTGAATGTCTTGGTGAAGTGCCATTGTCTTTGCTATTTCCACAAATGACAGGCAAAAGCATAAATATGAAATGCAAGAGTCATGATTGGTCTTTCACATTCTGTGCCCGAGTAGTCAGTCATAATTTGTATGTCTTCTCCCTCCGTCATAACATTCACATCAGTCCCTTCCTCTGTGCTTTTACTCAAGCCCTTAACATCTTTATCCAAAAGGATTAGTATTTATTACCTGCTCTACCTGTCTGTTTCCTTTTCTTTTTGTTTATTTGTGTTTGCTTTTTTTGTTTTGTTTTGATTTTGACACAGTCTTGCCTGGAATTCATGACCCTTCTGCCTTAGCTTCCCAAGTGCTGGGATTGTAGACAAGCACCACTGTACCCCACCAAAAAAGCCTTTCCACCTGCCAAAACTATTCCAAGAATGGGAGAAGGGGAAATAATGGAGAATGTTGGAGGGGGCAAATTCAACTATGACATATTGTAAGAACTTTGGTAAATGTCACAATGGACCCCCAGTACAACAACAGTAAAAAAGATAATTAAAAAAATAAAATAAAAAAGACCTTTTCCGTAAAACAAATCCATTTATATTGCTCTCTAGCTTAAAACCCTTTACAGTTTTATAGTATACACAGAATATAGATTATGCAGAACTGCTATGGCCTCTTTGTCTTTGAACACTGAATATTCTTCCTAACTTGTGCCCTTCCTAATTTTTATGCAAACTGGTATTCACTCAAAATTTAGTTCCAGCATTTTTGGGTGATCTATAGACAGAATTTTACTCTTCCCCTTATATTCCATTAGCAGATCCCACATGATACTATAATATATTTGACATACCAGTCTTTTCCCCC